GTCTCAGCACTAGGCAGGAAGAACATTGAGCCTCGTAGTTTGAGTGAAAGGAAGAAAGAAAGGGAGGGAAGAATAGGATACATGTGTGTTTTACCGCTGAGGCACATCCCTAGCCCTTTTTATTTTATATTTGAGACAGGTCTTGCTAAATTACCCAGGCTGACCCCAAACTTGATATCCTCCAGCCTCAGCCTCCTGAGTCACTAAAATTATAAGCACTCACCACTTTGCCCAGTAAACCCAAAATGTTTTATGTCACTGGTTTGGGGAGCATATATTTTTTTTCTGGTTGGTTCTGAGGCGAGCCAGTGGGTATGCAAAAATGGAGAAGCAGGCAATTATTGGCCAAGTCAAGGTCTCAGTCAATTGAGATTTGGGGGAGTCTGGTTATTTGCAGAGGTTTCAGGTCATAGTTCTGTTGTTATATAATGCCTGTGTCACCAGCCGTGCTGTTAATAATTACTCAAGAGGCGGATTGTCTTTAAATGCAAGCATATATTTGATCAGACCAATCATCAAACATAAACAATTAATGCAAAAAGTGTTGAGTTGCTGGAGCACCCCAACTAGCATTTAATGCACACTAATTAACACTACAAGCAAATCACACAATCTAGGGCAACCAGGAGCCCCAAAATACTTTGGATGCCACTCAATTTCTCTTAGCCAAAGAGCAGACATGGCCATTGTCCAGTGATTCTCTCCAGCCGATGGATGTATGTCAGGGAATGGTAGAGTCAATCTGGGGATGGACAGCAAGGCAGCCAGTCTCACTGATGTCCTTGGAGCAGCCTCATTAATGTAGCAAAACAAGTGACTTAAATATAGTTCCAAGTTGATGGTGTACATTGGTGATTGGTTACACCCAGTGAAAGTCAATGTCCATTGGTTATGTCCAGTGAGATGATGTAATTGCAACAGGGTATGTTCTTTGCGCATGTCCATGGAGCTGTGCTCCCTATTGATTGTAACCAGTTACTGTTAAATGTGCCTATGGTTAGTGCCCCTTATAGCTCCTTATCAATTGCAACCAGATATGACTAAGAAAGCCTATGGCTGCTGTTCCTTATGGCCAGTAACTTAGTGAGTCCCAGCATGTCCCAACATGTCTATGGCAGATGCTCTTTATACCTGGCCATTGTCCATTTGCAACTCAGTCTTTGAAACACAATTTTTAAAATTTTTTTCTGATATATACTTATTGTGAAAAATTTGGAAAATATTTTTTAAATCATAATCCTACCCACCTACACAAACACACACACCTAGGAATAAATAAATGACAGATTTTATATAACTGAAATTATGTACATTTTGTAACCACCTTGCTTTTATTAAATAAAAAGTTATTCAGTGACAGCAGATAAAGAATGAAGAGTTATGGAAAATGATAATCTGCAAAACAACCCCCAAAGAAAAGCAGAGAGACAATGCTGCTCCGGAGGAGGGAAGGGAAACTAGCCAAGCATTATTATCCTTCCAGTAAATTCTTTCCTGATAACAGGGGCCCTGAGGAAGGATGTGGGAGGCTGACTAGCATGTGACCATGCTGAACTGTGCGGCATCCAGCAGTCACGCTGTGATCTGGAGAGCCCGGGTCTTCTAAGGTGTGAGCAACTGTGTCTTCATGCATGGGCGTGCCTTCCTGTATCCCCATGGGTCGAGCTGTGCTCACCTGTTCCTTTGTAATATTACCCCTTGCCCTGTTTAGGATAGAATGTTCCATGGAAACACCTTTTGTGTGTCCCCTTTCTTACTGTGCCCTTGGGTGTCAGTCAACCTGCTGACAGCAGACATCATGAAGCTGAACTCAGCCCCCTGAAACCTGACCCCTTACCTCATTTGAATGGCTACTCCTCAGTAAAAAATGTCAGTACGTGCGCTCTCTCTCTCTTTCTGCGGACCCTTAAGGTTAGAGGAGCCATCACAGCACCCCCAAGGAAATAAAACATTTCTCTCTCTTATGTGGTTATTTTGCGCAGCTCAGTTCCCCTGGAGTGACCCTGAGTGTTTTAGTCAAGTGCGACCCAGTGGCAGAAGGAGTCGAATACTGAAACGCTGGGAGACAATAACTTCCAGAAAAAGAAATGCCCATCCCTCACAATCTGGACTCCTATCTCTTCAAGTAACAATGAGTTTCAACCTTTTACAGCTTCCCTTCTGAGTTAAAACTTTTAACCTATGTAACTAGCCCCTGACTGTCTGAAACCACCCTAATTGTACCCCATAAACCAAAATCCTCTCTGTAAACAATGGCCATTTTCGCATCCAGTACCTGAAGAACAATAAATGGTTTCCCTGAATCTGTTGAGGTCTACTCCCATCATTTTGTGCTTACAAAACACAGCAAGGAAGACTTTATTCAAGACTATCAGACTAGGTATAAGGCCAGAGGCCAAGCACAGTGATAGTAGGCCCACCCCTGTAATCCCAGCAGTTAGGGAGGCTGAGGCAAGAGGATCACAAATTCAAAGCCAGCCTCAGCAATTTAGCAAGGCATTAGACAACTTAGCAAGATCATGTCTCAACATAAAAATTTAAAAAAGGGCTGGGAATGTGGCTCAGTTATTAAACACCCTTGGGTTCAATCCCTGGTACAAAAAAAAAAAAAAAGGTATAGGGACCACTGCAATGGGGTCTGGAAATGGGGGAGAGAGACTGGGCTCAACTTCCAATTCAGCATGGGCAGATGAGAATTTATAGCCGGAGGCCAACAGATGGAAAATTACTAGGAGGAAACATGGTGAATAAGGAGAATTCTGACTACACAGACCTAACGGGATTCTTGCTGAAGACACACCAGCTTGATTAGACCTCACCTTGGGGATGGGGGTGGGGGATGATTGTGAAGATACTGATCAGATATTGATGATGGAAAGGAAGCAGTTCTTGCTAAACTGACTTAGCAGAGTTCTTTCTTAAAACTGGATTAAAACAAAGAAGTGCACAGGAGAGTATTCAGAAGCCTGACCAAAGTTTGGCCAAGCAAAGATGTCACTTCCCCATTTTTTTTTTTTTTTTTTGGTACCAGGGATTGAACCCAGGGGTTCTTAACCACTGAGCCACATCCCCAGTCCTTTTTTATATTTTATTAGAGACAGGTTCTTGCTGAGTTGCTTAGGGCCTCGTTAAATTGCTGAGGATGGCTTTGAACTCAAGATCCTCCTACCTCAGCCTCTGGAGTTGCTGGGATTACAGGTAAGCGCCACCAGGCCTGGCTGTCACTTCCTAATAATGCATGTGCACTTTCACTTCAAACTCAAAACTCTGTAATGGACCTGCATTGTGGTCCATTTATGGAGAGCAACTATTCTTCAGAACATTTATTCCCCCCTTTTTTTTTTTTCCTGTTAGACTTCAGTAATCACTAGTACATAATAAATCTGTCTGTGTGACATGGGTTTTTTTTTTCTTAGGTTTTGGTAATTGTGACTCTTATCAATGATGGTTTCTTGTTTTGTTTTCTATTTTACTCCTCTACCAGCATTCTATAAAGCAGAACCTTTCTCACCACATCTTTGTCAGAATTGAGTATTATAATTTTTTTTATTATAGTTTATGTTGGGCTAGGGTTATGGCTCAATGGCAGAGTGCTTGCCTAGCATGTGTGAGGCACTGGGTTGAATTCTTAGCACCACATAAAAATAAACAAATAAAATAAAGGCATTCTGTCCATCTACAACTACAAAAAAAAATTTTTTTAAAGAAAAGATAGTTTATGTTGTAAGTCAGGCATGAATGCCTTGGCCAGCTGGCACTAGGGTCCTGGTGGGGATGAGACACATAAGGTGAACTCGTTCCTCCACCTTCCAAATAGAGCTTTCTCTGGGGACTGCAGGAGGGACTGTTTTTCATTTTCAACTTCCTTCTCATGTGGAGCTGGTGAGCTGTTTTCCCAGGATTGTGTCCTCCGGCCCTTCTGCCCATAGTGCTCTGGCTCAAAGACTGACTGCACACTTCTACCCAGATGTCCCGCATATTCGAACCACAGAACCAGCGGAGTGGGCTGAAACAGGAAGGCCCCTTCTGTCTCCCTCTCTGCAACTTTTGGCAGCAGAGCTACCCATGTAGGTAGAGCCGGACAGCAGTGGGTATCCTGTCCTTGAAACTTCAAATTTCCCAACAAGCACAGGAAGAAACAGAATAGAACTGACTGGGTATGTTGGCCCACAAGGATAATTCCAGGACCAGTCTCAGAAACTTAGCAAGACCCAAGCAACTCAGACACTGTCTCAAAATAAAAATGTAAAAAGCGTTAGGTCCTTGGGCCAAAGAAACTCCATTTTGAAAAGCGCACCCAGGCACGACCTTCTCATTCAGCCCACCCCAAAGAGTCCCTAACAACTGAAACGGCGCCAAGTAACAATCACAAGACCAAATGGGTTATTTTCTGGCTCCTTCATGGCAAATGAGTATATAGTTAAGAAGTTTTTTTCAGCAGGCTGTTGCACCTTGCAGAAGGGCAGCCCGGCAGATATTCTCTTGTCAATAAACCTTTGCTTGACTCAGAGCTGTGTCTGGATATTTGCACCAGCTACCTTAACAAAAATGACTGGGCATGTAGTCGTGGCAAGCCGTCCCTGGGCTCAATCAATATATAGAGAGAGAAAGGGGAAAGGAGACAAAGATCAGAGCAGGCAGGGGAAATCAACAAATCGCGGGTTGGCGGCCTGCTCGTGAACTAGTCCCAGGATAGCGGGGCCTGAGACACCGGGAAGACAAACGTACCGCCAAGATAAGCCTGAGGCTAAAGAGGCCCGAGAGTAGCCCGCGGGCGGGGAAGCGGCAGGGCCGGGGCGGGCCTGAGTGACGCACACAAGCAAGCCCAGCGGCACTGGGACTCAAAGGCTCCAAATCCTCCGAGAGGGGCGGAGCCTGGGAAGACGAGAGAGCGGGGCGCATGCGCAAACCAAGTGGTGCTGGTGCCTAGAGGAGCCGAGCCGGGTCAGAGGGCGGAGCCGAGACGTGAGCGTGGGGCGCACGCGCGCGGCAAGGGGCGACGGAGGCCGTCATGGCGCCGTCGCAGCAGTCTCGGGTCCTGCGATGCTGCAGCTGCCGCCTCTTCCAGGCGCACCAGGTGGGGCAAGCGCCGGCTTACCCCTCCTCCCGCGCGGGGATGGCTGGTGTGATGTGACGGGCCGCGGGTGTATTTGGAGCCCGAAGACGTGACAGTGCTGAGGACTGGGTGTTATTTGGTGTCGCTTACCCATAACGTCGTTCTGAGCTTTTGTTTTTATTTTATGTCTGATTGTTGTAGAAACTAGAAATAATCGTTTTTGCTGAGGTGGCCTTTCATGAATTCCTGTAGGGAATTGGGATGCCCACCCTGAAGATAGCATCCTTTATGCAGGGCAGTGGCTCTTTCTTAATTTAATTACAAAGGGAGCGTGTTGCTGCAGGCAAGCCCAAGGAACCTGCCTGGATCCCGGCTGGCAAGCTTACGCTGGCTGCTGGTAGAAACTGCTAGATTACTTCTCAGTTGGTCCACCGGGGGTTTACAAAAGCCGGGTGATGTTCATCTGTAAATTTAGCTAGGCTGTACCTAGAGAATACGTCAGGCTTCCTTTGCATCTGTACTTTACTAAGGAAGTATAGGATACAGAAAAGCAGTTGTCAGGAAGTTTGCTTTTAATTTCAAAGGGGATCTATTCTAACAACTGTTTTTAGAACTCAGACTAAAGATGCAGCCATGGGAATGGCACTGGAGTGAACAAGTTACCGTTGAAATGTCCTTGGTCTACGCCTGGACGCCCTCTGGTGTCACTAGATTGCCTCTGCCTCCAGTTTAAGCATACCCACAGACGCCTCCAATTTTAAATGGTCGATATGTCTAAAATCTGTTTGCTTTCCTGACTTTGAGCACACAAGACAGAGGTTATAATTTAACCTAATCTTTTCTGGTTTGTGCCCTAGTTTGAAGTCAGCTAACACTGTGTATCTACCTCTGATGGTTTCCTCTTCTTCCTAGTTACCCATTAATCTGCCATTCCTTGAAAAAGAATAGCATCAAACTTCCTTAAAATATGTATTAAAGACAATAAGATGCTGAATATGCATCTGTAAGTTTGCATGTAATGGAACTTTGTAGGGGCTCAGAAACTTAGGTGTTTTTTGGGGACTGTATTTTAGAGTTGAGAATAAATGGAAATCATTTGCATTTTTTAATCATTACACATATACTGTCATGCATGCCCATGCTCATTTTTAACTCTATGAAAGATGATTTGATGGGCTGGGATTGTGGCTCAGAGGCAGAGCGCTTGCCTAGCATGCGCAAGGCACTGGATTTGATCCTCAGCACCACATAAAGTAAAATAAAGACATTGTGTCCATCTATAAGTAAAAATAAATATGTATATATATTTTTAAAGTAATTTTAAAAAATGATTTGAAAGAGAGGGAGAGTGACTGTGGTGGCACACACCTGTAATCCCAGCAACTTGGTAGGCTGAGGCAGGAGGATCACAAGTTTGAGACCAGCCTGAGCAATTTAGCAAAACCCTGTCTCAAAAAGGGATGAAAATATCTGGGTGCAGTGATGCATGCATGTACTCCCAGCAACTCAGGAGACTGAGGCAGAAGGATCTCAAGTTCAAGGCCAGCCTGGGCAAATTAGTGGGATCCTATCTCAAAATAAAAAGACCTGAGGATATAGCTCAGTGGTAAAACACTGCTGGGTTCAATCCCCAGTAGGATGCTTGGTGGGGGAGTGTTGAGGAGAGGAAGTCAACCTGTTAATTACAAGTCTTCTGTGTGCTCGGCAGTTTCACACATCTCATTTAATTTCAGCAGGAATCCAGAGAAATCAAGTGAATTTGCCAACGAATAAATGGCAAACCCACGCCTATACAATTGCAAAGATCCTGTTTTTATTCTTACTGGCTTCCCAGAATCAGTTACCAGTAATATGTGTCTTTCCAGACATTTTATTCCCCAAATACTGGGGATTGAATACTGGGGCTCACACATTAAGCAAATGCTCTATCATTGAACTAAATCCCCAACCCTATTTTTTGTAGTTTTATTTTGAGACCCAGGTCTTGCTAAGTTGCCAAGGCTGGCCTTGAACTTGCCATCCCAGCTTCCTGAGTAGCTGGGATGAGGGTATATGTCACCAAGCCTGGCCCAGACCCTTTTTTTTTTAGTACTAGGGACTGAACTCAGGGACACTTAATTACCGAGCCACATCCCCAGCCGTTTTTATTTTTAATTTTGAGACAGGGTCACATTGAGTTGCTATGGCCTTGCTAAGTTGCTGAAGCTAGCTTTGAACTCACTGTCCTCCTGCATCAGCCTCCAGAGCCACTGGGATTACAGTTGTGCGCCATTAAACCCAGCCCCAGACTTTTTCAATGATGTATTTCTTACTTGCATATATACCCATAGAAAATGCACAGGATTTGTTTTGTGGTGTTTTTAGGTAGATCCTGAAAAGTAGAATTGCTAAGTCCTGATACAAGGCCATAGCTCATAGTTCCATCCCCAGTACCACAAAAAAAAAAAAAAAAAAAAAGTCAAGTCATAGGATATATCCACTCAAATTTTTAGTAAATGCTGTTTGTCCTTAGAATCTTTGTATTAAAAACATATTAATCATAGTAATTTGTTTTGTTTTTGAGGTGCTAGGGATTGAACACGGGGCCTTGTGCATGCTAGACAAGCAATCTACCACTGAGCTTCATCCTCAGCCCTCTTCATCCTCAGTCCTCTTTTGAATGGACTGTCTTTTTTCACCCATTATCTCTACTGTCTTTAGATGTCTGCTTTTATAAAGGCTGTGTTACCTTTTGAAGATATAATAATTTTCATCTTGGGTTGTAAAGTACATATAAATATGTTCATGTATACATATTTATATAGATATGATATATAGAGAGATACAGATGTAACATTTATTTTATTACAGAGATAAATATTTTATTACATCCCAGCAATTTAAGAGGCTGAGGCAAGAGGATCGCAAGTTCAAAGTCAGCCTCAGCAACTTCGCAAGGCCCTAAGCAATGTAGCAAGACCTTGTCTCAAAATTAAAAAATGTAAAAAAAAAGAGCTGGGATGTGGCTCAGTGGTTAAGTGCCCCTGGGTTCAATTAAAAAAAAAAACAACACACAGACGGCAGAAAACTAACTTGATTTTGTTTTACATGGATGGCCAGTCTTTCCAGAACCACTTATTAAATAGTTTATTCTTTCCTCTTAAAAATGCCACCTTCAGGACTGGGGTTGTGGCTCAGTGGTAGAGCACTTGCCTAGCATATGTGAGGCACTGGGTTCAATTCTCAGCACCACATAAAAATCAATGAATAAAATAAAGTTATTGTGTCATCTACAACTAAGAAAATATTTTTTTTAAATGCCACCATCAGGGCTGGGGGTATAGCTAAATTATTTCTCATCCAATTCTGTCCTGTTTTATATAATTGTCTAAGCTATATTTCTGAAATTTCATTGTAGGTGAAAAAAAGTCTCAAATGGACATGCAAGGCTTGTGGAGAGAAGCAGTCCCTTTTGAAGGTATGTTCTGATAAACAGAAAGCAGGTGGGCCTAGCCCTGCAGAAGATGTTTCTCATGGAGCCCCAACATTCCACAGCCAGGATCCTCTTCTCTCTCACTAAGTTCACCAGATACAGAGCTCCTGCTCCTTAGGTTCCTGTTCCTCCATGAAGTGAAATAGATGGAGCAGTGTGTGGGAAAATGCCATTATTTGCTTCTTCATTGACTAGGAATCTGAAGCAGGAGGGTCACTGAGCCGAGAAACTTAAGGCCAGCTTGGGTGACATAGCAAGTCTCAGTCTCAAAAAGAAAAGAATTTCAAGATGGCAACAGTATAGCAGTTCTCAGGCCTGTAAAGCTGATTCTACCTATGGTGGAACTCACCAGTTCATGCTCCAAAATTTCATCACCTACCACCTTCCCCTCAGGCCTCTCAGCTGGCCCCTCACTTTAACTCCACATGTCAGTCTCTGGGTCTCTGCACTCATTTCTGTTTCATTGTATTTTCTAGAATGTTCTTCCTGATATTTTCATGGCTTGCTCCCTCGTGTCTTCCTATTTGTGTTCAGATGTCATCTTCTCAGTGATTCATTTCTTGACCATGGAATGCCCAACATAAAATTTTGTACGCATTGCCCCCCATTCAGCCCTACCCTATTTTGTTGCCTTATTTTCCTGAGAACATTTGTTAACTGTCTTGTAGCCAGATGTTTTACTAATTTATTATGTCCCCTCTTGCTAGAAAGAGCTCGTTGATGACGGTGAGTTTTGTCCACTGCTGCATAGTATTATCCACACTTAGACCAGGGCCTACCACATAATAGGTACTCAGTAAATATTTATTGAACAAATGGGTGACTGCTATGTAGGAAAAGGCATGTCATTTTATTTTGTATTCCTTTAATTATCAATTAGGGTAAGCATAATTTTATATATTTTTGGCAGTTTGTGTTACTTCTCTTGTGACCCTTTTTATTAAGTGAAATAGATGGAGCATTGACTGGGAAAATTCCATTATATGCTTCTTCATTGAACTAGGAATTCATTAACCATTTTGCATAGGGCTTTGGGTTGCTTTGTTAGATAAGAGTTCAGGGTGCTAGTGAGGCAGCCAGCTAGACCTAAACTGGCTGCAGAGCCTGTTTATAAATCACTCTAGAAACAGCAGCCAGTCATTAGGTTTCCTGCATGCTGCTTCAAGCATTTTTGGGCCTTGCATAATACAGTTTGGTCTTCCATGAGGTACATCTCAAATATATCTGTTTCTTTGCATTCTGGCAATACTTTTTAAACTAAATATATGTTTTTCTTTCTCAGGTTTATGGTGAGGGTTCTGGTGCTGACTGTAGACGCCATGTCCAAAAATTAAATCTGCTACAGGGACAGGTTTCAGAGCTGTCACTCAGGTACAGTGATTTGAAAGGAGTACGTTATCTTGTCCTATTTTCATCTTGATTGGATGGTGGAAGTATACAGTGGAGAAATCATTAGATTTCCATGTTTTACGTGTGGCAGATTAAACACCCTGAGCCGTCCTCCCCCTAAAAATAACTAAAAATGCCAGCTATAATATTTCAGATGAACTAATGAGCTGTTAGCCTACTTTATATACAAACAGATATATGAAAAATTGTGGTATATATGTGTAATAAGAATTATAATGCAAAAAAAAAAACAAGTACATGTATAAAGACATGAATCGGCGTGAACATACTTTATACAAAGATATGAAAAATTGTGCTCTATATGTGTAATAGGAATTGTAGGGGCTGGGGATGTGGCTCAAGCAGTAGCGTGCTCGCCTGGCATGCGTGCAGCCGGGGTTCGATCCTCAGCACCACATACAAACAAAGATGTTGTGTCCGCTGAAAACTAAAAAAATAAATGTTAAGAAAAAATTCTCTCTCTCCCTCTCTAAAAAAATATAGAGAGAGATAGTTAGATAGATAGATAGGCTAGACATGTGGCTCAGTGTTTATTAAGTGCCCCTGGGTTCAATTCCTGGTACCAAAAAAACAAAGAAAGAAAAGAAGAAAAAGAAAGTAACCTTAAGTGGTCAAAAGTTGAAAAAAAAAAAAAAAGCTAGGGCTGGAGGTGGAACTCAGTAGTTGAGCCCTTGCTTAGCACACACAAAGCCCTGGGTTTGATCTCTACCACCAGAAAAAAATAAAATAAAAATGAAGTAAAAGCCAAAATCCAGAGAGAAAGCACCTGAAGTGCAAAGTTTGGTACTCTGAAGCCTCCATTTATGGGGCTAGGAGGGGTGCCAGAGACAAAAGACAAAGCCAAAGGCCTGGGCTTTATAGGAAAAAAAAATTAGTAGGAGACCTCCATATAAAGCTTGAGTCCCTAAAGGCCTCTGCCCTAGTGCACAAATGAACTGCAAATACACTCAACACTGCAGCAGGAAGCTCTTATTCATTGACCTTGGCCCTGGCTGAAGAGGGAGAAATATCTCTCTAAAACTCTGGAAGCACAGGAAGCCATGCAGTGGCTTTTCAGTTTTTATACTCACTATTTGAGAAGCCTGAAGCTGAAAATTTGTTTTTCAATTGTCCCAGGAAGTCTGCTCCCCTGGAGCAACACCTCACCAACATAGACCTTAAAGAATTCCCACAGATAGTAGGGTGTGGTGGTACACACAGTAATCCCAGTGACTCAAAACGCTGAGGCAAGAGGATCACAAGATTGATCCTCAGTAGCCTCAGTAACTTAATGAGATTCTGTCTCAAAAATTAAAAAGGACTAGGGGTATAACTCAGTGGTAAAGTGCCCTTGGGTTCAACCCCCAGTACCCCCCCTCCAAAAAAAAAAAAGTCCATAGATGAAGTTCCAAGGAGCGTATATTCAAGATATTTATTTAGAGATGAGGACTCACTATGTTGCCTAGACTGGCCTCAAACTCAAAATTCTCCCATGTCATCAGCCTCCCTAGTAGCTGAAATTACAGCCATGCACCAATGTACCCAGCTCAGATTTTTTAAATTGATTTGTGTGTGTGTATGTGTATATTGCTGGGGATCAAACCCAAGATCTCATGAATGCTATGTGTTTTACCATTGAGCTACATCCCCAACCCCAGTATTCATATTTAAAAATTGTTAAACATTCAAGGAAGCATGTCATCAAGGACTAAAGACAGCAGAAACAAGTCAGAAAAGTCAGGCTCACAAAGATTCCAGAATTTATAATATTTCATGTTTGATATGTTTAACAAAATAAAAAGGGGTTAATATGAGGGACTTTAGAAAATAGCCAGGTATATTTGAAAAAAAACTCAAAAAGAGTTTATAGAAATTAAAGCCAGGTTTGGTGGTGCATGCCTATAATCTCAGCAATTCAGGAAGCTGGGCAGGAGGATCACAAGTTCAAAGCCAGCCTCAGCAACTTTGTGAGGCCCTAAGCAACTTAGTGAGACCTGACTCGAAAAATAAATAAATAAAAATGTCTGGGGCTGTGGCTTAGTGGTTAAGAACCCCCTAGATTCAATCCCCAGTTCTAAAAAAAAAAAAAAAGGAAAGAAAAATTAAAAGTAATCTCATTAAAATTAAAAATTCAGTGAGCTGGACATCATGGCATATACCTATAATCCCAGTGATTCTAGGGTGAGGCAGGAGGGTCACAAGTTTAAAGCTAGCCTCAGCAATTTAGCAAGACCCTCAACAACTTGGTGAGACCCTATCTCAAAATAAAAAAGAAAAAGGACTGAGGATATAGCTCAGTAGTGAGTGCTCCTGGGTTTAGTCCCCATTATTGAAAAAAAAAAAAAAAAGAAGAAGAACAAAGTCGGAGGACTTCTATAATCTGATATCAAGATTTATTTCAATGCTTATTGAACTCAAGATAGTATGATTTTAGTGAGAGTCTAGATATATTAGTAGATAAATGACTAAACCAATTCTGCTATATTCATACTATCAAATACTTTTCAGCACCAAAGACAACATGGGCAAATTTCAAAACTGCTAAGTAAAAGAAACCAGATACAAAATAGAGTATAGTATGCAGATTGCTGCAAAGGAGCACAAGAGCACTTTTCAGAGTGATAAAAATTTCTGCCTTGATTGGGGATGTAGTTTCTTTTTTTTTTTTTAATTTTTTTAATATTTATTTTTTTTTTTTAGTTTTCGGCAGACACAACATCTTTGTTTGTATGTGGTGCTGAGGATCGAACCCGGGCCGCACGCATGCCAGGCAAGCGCGCTACCGCTTGAGCCACATCCCCAGCCCCAGGGGATGTAGTTTCAAAAGCATGGTTTTATCAAAACTCATCCAAATATGTATCTAAGTGAGTATATTTTGGTATAAAGTACTCCTCAATTGATTAATTATAAAAGTTTTAAAAAAATCTACCCTGCTGGGTGTGGTAACACACACCTGTAATCCCAGAAGCTTGGGAGACTGCAGCAGGAGGATCTCAAGTTCAAAGCCAGCTTCAGCAACTTAGTGAGGCCCTAAGCAAGACTTATCTCTAACTAAAATATAAAAAAAGGGCTGGGGATGTGGCTCAGTAGTTAAGTGCCCTGGGTTCAATCCCCAGTTTAAAAAATTTTAAAAATAAAAATCTGCCTTTAGACACGACAGCATAATGAAATTGCAGAACACAGAAAACAAAGCAAGAGCTAGAGAGTAGACAGCTAACTGACAGAACAATAGACCCCAGCTTGTCAGGGGTAGCATTTAATTTTTTTTTAAGATAAGCTAGTCTTCAGAATTCCAAGACATCCTGAGCTGATGGCACTATGGCACATGCCCATAATCCCAAATTGGGAGGCTGAGGCAAGCCTCAACAACTTAGTGAGAATCTGTCTCAAAATAAAATATACATAAAAACAAAATAAAGATATAGTGTCCACCTAAAACTAAAAAGTAAATATTTAATAAAAAAAAATTTTTTTAAAGGAGGGGGCTAGGGTTGTGGCTCAGTGGTAGAGTGCTCACCTAGCATGTATGAGGCACTGGGTTTGATCCTCAGCACCACATCAAAATAAAATAAATATATAGTGTCCACCTAAAACTAAAAAATATTTAATTAAAATTTTTCAAAAAATAAATATTAAAAGGACTAGGGATATAGCTAGTGGTGAGTGCTTGCTTAGTATGTGTGAGGCCCTGGGTTTGTTCAAGCCCTTGTACCCAAAAGAAAAAAAAAAAGGAAAATTCCCTCCCTTGTAATGTTTGAGACATAACACAACAACTGTAAAGCCTCTCATAAGACCCTGACTGCTGGGGTGGGTTATGGCTCAGCGGTAGCATGTTTGCCTAGCAAGTGCGAGGCACTGGGTTCAATTCTCAGCACCACATAAAAATAAGTACACAAAATAAAGGTATTGTGTCCAACTACAACTAAAAATATATATATTTTTTAAAAAGACCCCTGACTGCTGAAAATGTCCCCTCTGCTAGAGGGAGAGACTCTGTGCTGCAAGAATTCAGCTGGCACTACTTCAAATTCCAGGCCTTGCATAGGATATGTATACACATATTGTCTTATTTATTTTTGTAGTCACAGGTACAGTGTTATCCCCATTTGTAGATAAGGAAACTGGGATCCAGTGTTATACTCAAAGTCACACACAGCTGGTCATTGGCAAAGTCAGGATGCCAACTCCTGTTTCTACTTTGAGGGTCTGCCTTCTTGGCCCTGCATCGTGTTTCCTTTTGATAGTGACTTTCACGAGCCTCAATCAAATACCCCCTCTGCCTAGGCCATCTAAATTGTTGGAAGATGACAGAACCACATCAGAACAACAGAACTATGTCCCCGAGATTCCCCAAAACAATCTTTGAAATCTGTGGCTGGATCCTTGCATCCTCCTGTCTTCATCTTCCTTGTCCTTTCTCTTCCCATTTTATAAAGGACCTGCACATGATCTCTCCCTTAGGTCTGTGGAAGCAGCTGTAACTGCTGGCAAAGAAGAAAATGCAGGTGGGCAGCAGGCTGAGGATGGGATCCCACAGGTAGGCCTGCAGGTACGTTCTAGCCCTGCCTTCTGGGCTCTCTGTGTCTCCTAAGGGATTCCATTTATGTGTTGCCAAAGGAAGAAATTACAACACAGTTAGTTTAAAGATCCCAATCAACTTCATTTGTGATTCTTGAATCAGGCAATACTTTATTCCATAAACTAGAATAAGAGGTTGGTTTTATTCACAAAGTAGGATTAATGAAAGCAGAAACAAAGAACAAAGAATAGATGGGTCATTTCAAAATTATTTTTCTTGTAAGGAGGGAACAGGAAGATAGAACAATAGACAAGTAAGTAGTTCACTTCAGGTTACCTTTTTTTGAGTAAGAATTAAAGCAGAGGGAACTTCATTATCGTGTCCAATGAAACTGGCCTGTTTGGAAAGTTAAGCTGTTACCTGTCTCCTGATTTCAGATTAAATTTATTTCAGTTTGGTGATATGGGACATTAGCATAAGTGAGACCATTTTAGTTTTTAGTCTGGTCTGTCAGGTCGTAGTACAAGAGCCTAGTCCAAAACTATGGCCTCTTATAATTTTTATTTAAGAATATTCATTAGTCACTGGGCCTAGAAGTGGACTATAGTCACAGCTACTCAGGAGACTGAGACAGAAGGCTCATTCGAATCCAGGAATTTGAGGCCATCATGGGCAACATAACAAGACCCTTGCTCAAAAACAAACAAACTGGGTACAGTGGAGCACACCTGTAATCCCAGCAACTTGGGAGGCTGAGGCAGGAAGATCAAGATTTCAAAGCCAGCTTCAGTGATTTAGTAAGGCCCTAAGCAACTTGGTGAGACCCTATCTCAAAATAAAAAGGGCCAGGGATGTGACTCAGTGGTTAAGCACCCCTGGATTCAATCCCCGTACCAAAATTAAACCTGCAAAACAAGAGCTGGGAATATAGCATAGTGCTAGAGCACTTGCCTAGCATGCCTGAGGCCAAGTTCAGTCCCTTAGTACTAACAAAAAGAAACAAATACAAATAAATCCTCTACCATTTGGGGGTTTTTGTTTTGTTTTTGATACTAGGGATTGAACCCAAAAGCACTTTACCACTGAGCTATATCACTTGTCTTTTTAATTTTAAGGCAGATCTCACTAAATTGCTCACACTGGCCTTGAATTTTAGAGTCTCCTGCCTCTGTGTCCAAATCACTGGAACCTGTACCATTTGGTTTTTTGTTTAATATTTTAGTTGGACACAATACCTTTCTTTATTTATTTTTAAGTGGTGCTGAGGATTGAACCCTGTGCCTCGCTTATGCTAGGTGAGCACTCTACCGCTGAGCCACAACTCCAGCCCCTGGAACCTGTACCATTTGTAAGGATGGAGTTAGCCATGTGCATAAATCTTTATAATACTCAACATTGAGTATTTCGTTCCATAAAATAGAATAAATCTCCTTGGAGAACTCCTTCCAAACTTAGAGTGATCTTACCTCCTGTGCAGCCACAGCTTTCTTCCCACAGCACTCTGAGCATCCCTTTGATAAAGAGAGGAAGCTGGTATCAAATACCAGGATTTTCATGTTCCTTTGCTCCAGACCTTCTAGGAGCTTCCTGGGAGCAGGAATAACATGCAGTTGTTAGCTGTCGTCTGCACCTGGCACTCAGACAGCATCAGGTGGGCAGTGTGTGTGACAGCTTTCGTGACTGAGTGGGTGGCCTTCTGGGTACATTAGAGATGCTGTGGGCACATAGAGAGAGCTCTGTGTCCTGCCAGAGCCAGAAGAAATGGGAAAAACTGTCCACCAGCAAAGCAACTACCTAGCTTTGCTCTGCTCACAGGATAACACTAGCCATGTCCTCTCATTACTTTGTCTTCATATTTTTATTGTAAACTAGGGAGGTGCTCATAAGCACTCAAGTACAGCCATTCTGACAGCTTTGTCTGTGCTTCCCATTTGATCCCTTTACAGGGTCTTGCATATGTTGTCCAGTCAGGTCTCAAATGGATGGGCCCAAGTTATCCCCCTGCCTTAACCTCTTGAGTAGCTGGGATTATGGGTACTTCATTATTCTTATTAAAAGATACTTTTTTACATCCTAAAGTTTTATATCATTCTTCTAAATGTAACTTTCAATTATTTTCATTTTTAAAAAGCTTAATGGCAGAGGGCTTACCTAGTATGTGCAAGGCCCTGGGTTCAATTCCCAGCACCACAAAAAAAATAATAATAATTATTATTATTATAAAGCTTAAGAGTACCTATAGAATATTGTGGGCATACCAGTGCTAATTCCCTTATTGTGGGGGCAGTTAGTTGCCTCTCCACTTAAGCCATTAGTAGTAGTAGTAGTAGTAGTAGTACTGGGGATTGAACCCAGGGTACACTACCACTGAGTTACATTCCCAGTTCTTTTTATTTTCAATTTGGAGGTAGGGTTTCATTAAGTTGCTCAGTCTGCCCTTGAATTGTGATCCTCCTTCCTCAACTTCCCAAGCAATTGGTATTACAGGCTTGTGCCACCATGTCCAACTATTATAATTAAATAATTGCTATTATTTGTAACCCTGTCATGAGTATGATTTTTCCCCTTGCATTTCTGGGGATGGAACACAGGGCCTTAGCCATGCTAGGCAAGGGCCCTTCCACTGAGCTATATCTCACCCCTGTGACAAGCATCTTTGTGCCTTGGTTGTTTGGAGATCCTGAGTCAAGGAGCATAGATCTTTGGAAGGTTCTTGACAAGTTGTGCCCTGCACAAGGCCTGGACCAATGTACACTGTCTCCACTGTTGTCTTTGGGCAGCTGTATCCCCATCAGCTTTCAGCCATGTGCCTTTCCTGGTAATGAGGGAAACATGGGTCTTAAGACCTCATACCTAAGTATCAAAGCTGATGATGTTTTATCAAAGTGGCCACTTTCCAACTCTAGAGTTTAATCTCTTTCCCAACCTGCAGGAAAAATCCCAGCCCTTGGAGAACCGCTGGCTGAAGTATCTAGACAAGGGCAGCCCAGAGCAGGAGCCAGAAGGAGTATGTTTCCACACACAGCCCTCATCCAACCCAGAGCATCTAGGCCCTCCCTTCAATCAAGCCCTGCCCAGAAAAAGGTGCCAAGTGGGTCTGTAATCCAGAAGGAATGATGAGCTGCTTCTAGTTGTTGGCCAAAGTAGGAGCAGCCCAAGTGTCATATGCCAGTGGGCAGGAAAGCTGGGGGATAGCCATCACTGCCAGCCCCCTCTGTCCCTGGGTACTGCCACAAGGAGATGAGGACTCGGAGGACACTGGCATGGGCAACCTGTATGCTGAGTGTCTCAGACTATACAGAAATTGGAGAGAATCATTAAGGGCAAGGTTGACAAAGTGAACTGTGGCCAGAATGACCAATGTGCCTGGGATCTTGGAAGCAAAGACCTCAGACTTTCAGGGTTTCTCTTCCTCTAAATTTCCTCTGTTTCAGTGAGTGTTCTAGAAGTCGCTTTAGGCTAAGCACTGAGGATGGCTTCTCAGGGCAGGTGCTTTCAGGAGGTAGATTCTAGTTTCAGATAAGATCATTCTAACAAGAAGATATAGGGCAGAAAAATGGACTGCCTGGACTGTTGCTGGGCAGCCACCTGGGAAGCTGTAAGGGATGGGGTTCCTCCCTAGCCTGGGTCAGGCCAAATGACCATGGAGTTAGGCTCTGGGGAAACTGGTTGTTGACAGCACATGATAGCACTTTCTCTGCCAGGAAATGGAGCCAGAGCACAGACCACCCTCCTCAGAGCTTTGTTGTCCAGGATTCAGATGATGCTGAAGTCACCTTGGAATCCCAGGAGGTCAGTGATGAAGAATAATATTTCTCTTCTGATCCATCATCACTGAGCTTACATAGGAGAGAGAGAGCATGTGCGCGTGCACACACACACACACAGATTAAACACAGGGCCTTGGGCATGCTAACCATCTCTACCACTCAGCAGATCTACCCATGGAATTTTTCTTGTTTTATAAGTTGATTTGTAAGGGTGGTGGTTGTTTTTTCGTTTGTTTTGTTTTTTTGGTAATGGGGATTGAACCCAGAAATGTTCTCCCACTAAACTACGCCCCTAGTCCTTTTTATTTTAAGTTGCCAACGCTGGCACTGGATTTGAAATCCTCCTGCAGCCTCCCACGTCACTGAGATTACAGGTATGTGGCAATATGCCCAGCAAGATTTGGGGTTTTTTTGAGATAGGATTTTGCTGTATTGACTTGGTTTTTCTCAAATTCATGGGCTCAAGTGATCCTCATACCTCAGCTTCCCAAGTGGCTGCTGTATGCGTCTGAGCCACTGTGCCCAGCCCAACCTGGGGATTTTTCTTTTCCATTTAAAGCCAACACACCTTTCTCTGGCCCATATCCTATATCCCTCCCATGTTCATACATCTTCATCCTGCAAAGGGGAGATCTCTGTCCTCCTGCCCTGGATCTCCTGTGCATTTGCCCTGCCCCAGCTGCACACTCCCTCCTCCCAGGCACTCTTCTCACTGAGGATGTTTTCCTAATGCTTAGGACCTAGCAGGCCCCTCTGCACATTCAGCGCTTCAGAGTGTAGCACTGTGGTGGGAGCCCAAGGAATTAGGCAGAGGAATTCTCCTCAGTCACTGCTTATTGCTTTGATGACATCAGTTAAGATCTGCTATGCCTGGCTTCAGACTGTGCAAAACACTGGCTCACAGTCAAGAAACAAAGTCCAAACTTTGTTGTTGCCATGAATTAGTTACCCCAGGTAGGTTTGTGGCCCTGAATATTCTAGATTACAGAATAACAGTAGTAAGTTATCTAATCTAGTGCCAGTCCCTGGGCTGTAAATTTTAATCTCACCATAGCCTGTTGTCATTTTAAAAGCAAGGAACTAAAGCTTGCAAAGGTTCAGTGAGGTCACAGCAAGTTCAGCAGCAAAGCCATGATTAAGCATCAAGACCAGTTTCTTCCCTTGTCTGGGAAGTGGCATTACAGACACCCACCACCTCTGCTTTCAAATCCCTTTGCAGGAGCTGGGCACAGTGGTGCACACCTGTAATCCCAGCAGCTCAGGAGATCATGCATTCAAAGCCAGCCTCGGCAAAAGAGAGGCACTAAGCAACTCAGTGAGACCCTATCTCTAAATAAAATACAAAATAGGGCTGGGATGTGGCTCAGTGGTTGAGTACCCCTGAGTTCAATTATTTGGTACCTTCCGCCCCAAAAAAAGTCCTTTTGTAGGTATTGAAACTAACTTTCAATGCATCTTTGGTTCCTGAAGTGGGAGAAGCCAGGCCAAGCACCTCTTTCATACCTCTCAGTGAACTACTTACATAGTTGTTTTCATGGCTCTGGATATTTCCATCTGGCCAAGAGTAAGCAGGCTGGCGTCTCTGTCCTCTCTAGACAGTCTCTAAGTCCTTCCCGCTCACATCTCCTTTCAGGAACCCCTGACTTGATCTGAAAGTCTCCAATGGATGGGTCACCTAATGACATGAAGATGTGTTTCTGGGAAACCTGGTCCTGTGATTTAGCAGAAGATTGGGGTGAGGTGGAGGGTGTTTATTCACTTTGATTTGCTAAATGTCGAAATCAAGGCATGTTCCAGCCCGCCAGAGTAGTAAGTAGGAGAGCTTAAAGCACAAGGGTCAGCACCCAGGCAGAAGTGAGGCAGTAGCAGTGTGGAGCCTGACGGAAGCCATTTCTGATTTCTCACCCAGGGATATACTGGCCTGACCAGGACCGGGGAGCGAGGCAGCAACCACTGCCTCCAGAACTCTGTGCACTGCAACACCAGGGAGCTTAGTTTTCCTCGGTGGAAACTACCAAGTCCTGCGCCACAGGTTCAGGCCCCATCTTCTAAATGGGCACGGTTTCTCCTTTCACCTGGGAACAGCTCACTTGTGGACACAGAAGTGCCAAGACCATTGCACAGTGGCTCTGGGTCAGCCAGCCCAACACAGGCTGAACCAGGTACCCCTAGGACTGAGACTCCAAGGGAAGGCAATCCCAGCAGGCTCACCACCACCATCCAGTTTCCTCAGGCCACATACACTCCCATGTCCAGACCTAGGCCTTGCAGGAATTCCCCTCAGCAGTCATGGAGCACAGGGACTCCTCTGGTCCAGGGGGTAGAGAGGGCCCCACCTGTGCAACTATGTAGTCTCTTTACAACAGGGGAAGACTTTGATGATGATCTGTAAACTGAGATGATCATAACTGTAGTATTTAGAGTCATGTGTTACATGTGCCCATTTCCTCTACTATGCCACAGAAACAGAATTCCTGAGGTGCTTTTAAAGGAGTGTAATCTGAGAACAACCAAGAGTAGACAATAAACATTACTGTAAAACAGGTATTTCTCTCATCAGCAACCAATAAGGAAGGACATCATTGTCAATTAAAGTGCTTGTACCGTTTAATTATAGGTTGTTTACAAATCAGATAACAGGATGGCTACAAAGGGATTTTCTTACTTTAAAAGCAGTTGACACATTTGGAAATGAAAAAACTAGAGCAGTCATGACACAAGGAGGCATACTCAATGAAAACCACAGCTCAGACCTCCCTTCTGAGCCCATCTAGTACCAAGCAGGAAACCCACAACCTGGCTACCCGCCATCCCTGGTACTCCTATAGGAGCCTCCTCCATTCGCTCCCTGACAACTTTCTCATTTGTTGAAAAATAAATGTCAGTGTACTATTAATCATTTTTTAAAAAGAAAAAGCAGAAAGCCATTAGGCAAGACATATTCCAAACTGCTGGTGTGATGCTGGCAGGGAGAGAAGGAGTACGCAGGCATGTCCTTGCCCTCCCTAGCCAGGGCAAGGCCTTGGAGAGGGCAAGCTGCTTCCATTTCTCACACACTTGGAACTCTCCCTTCATGTCACTTGTCCCACTGCCCTGAATGACTTCATGCATCCCCACCCATGGATTCTGGAAGAAGAATGCTGATAAACTGGCCCTTACAGAGGCCCTGCTGTTCTATGCTAACTCAATGCAACTATGAGACAAAAAAGGAGTATGGGATAGATACACAAATGTTGTCACAATGGCGGTGGGTGTTTCGAATACTGGATAGTATCCAGAGCAGCCCCAATGTCGTAATTTTTGGTCTGTAGAAGCCTGGTGAGCCAGCCGCCTTCATCCGAGAACCCCATGGACAGCATCTGAGAAAGCGACTCAATCAGCCGGGGGTCAGCCTCTGCCAAACACAATCCAGAAACCATAAGAGAACATCACTGAGCCCCACCTGACCCCAGACACAGCAGCATTCTGACCTTCACCAGCAAGCACCTAGTATCTTCTGAGGGCCAACCTTTCCATGGGATCCTTTACTCTCAGGAACCCTCAGAGTCAGGTTCAGCAAGCTTTTCCTTTATAAAGGAAGAATAAAATGTTTAGATAATAAACATTTTAGGCTTGCCTTAAAAAGGTTGGGGGGCGGGCCACTGGTGATTGAACTCCTAGATATTTTTTTTTAACCACTGAGCTATATCCCCAGCCCTTTTTGAGACAGGGTCTAAGTTGCTTAGGGTCTCGCTAAATTGCTGAGGCTTCAAACTTGCAATCTTCCTGCCTCAGCCTTCACTGGGATTACAGGTACACACCACCATGCCCGACTTATGCTTGCTTTGCAGGCTAGATAGTCTTGACACCTCTCTGCCACTAGAGCCAGATATGTAAACAAAAGAATATGCTTGTATTCCAATAAAACCACTGCCAGGCATGGTGGCGCATACCTACAGTCACAGCCATTAGGGAGGCTGGAGCAGGAGGATCACTTGAGTCCAGGAGCTCAGGGCCAACATAGGCAACACACTGACACCCTATCTTAAAACACACATGCGCACGCGTGCACACACACACCCTTTATTTACAATGATTTTTTTATGTGGTGTTGAAGATCAAACCCAGTGCCTCACACGTGGTAGGCGAGCACTTTACCACTGAGCCACCACCGGAGCCCCAACGCTGAAATTTTAATCTCAAAGTCAAATATCTTTAACTTTCTCCCAACCATTTAAAAATGCAAAAATAATTCATATATAGGTCAGTTTGCTACCCCTGTACTCTAAGGCAGAGAAGATACATATTAAAGCTCAAGAGTTGAATATGGCCTAGAGATAATTTACTCAACATCAGTATGACAAGTAGGAGTCATAGCTGGGTATCAGCTGCTTCTCTAATTCAGGGTGTTCGCTCTACAATGCTACATTCCCCACCATGCCCTGCTTTCTATGCTGTGCACTTCCCATGTTGGCCTCCACCTTATCTCCATGGGGATCTTAGCAGTGACCCCATGAGATAACAGTGCAGATGGTCCAAGTCCAATGCCAAACCCAGTGCAGGCTTCTGTTATTACATTTGACCCCAGCACTTTTTGTGTTTCTATTTTAAGACTGGTTGTCATGGGCTGGGGTTGTAGCTCAGTGGCAGAGTGATTGCCTAGCATGTGTGAAGCACTGGGTTCAATACTCAGCACCACATAAAAATGAATAAATAAGATTAAAGTATGTGTCCATCCACAACTAAAAAATAAAAAAGACTGAGTGTCATTAGGTTGCTGAGGCTAGCCTTGAACTTGTAATCCTCCTACCTCAGCCTCCCAAAAAGCTGGGATTATCAGCATGTGTCATGGTACACATATCACATCTGTCTTAACTCTTGGTCTGGTGTTAAGTTTTAGAAATTACTAAAATTAATCAATAAAAAAAATTACTAAAATTAGCTTAGTTTATTATCTCACTCAAGATGGACATGAGAGGACAAAACCAACTCCTACTTTTCTTTCATGTCAATAAACAAGCCCCAGAGTAGAAGCCATGCCATTCTTTTGATTATGTGGCTGAAATCAGATGACAGGACACTCTCAAACAAACCTGAAATCAGGGGCTGGGGTTGTGGCTCAGCAGTAGATTTGCTCGCCTAATATGTGTGAGACACTAGGTTCAATCCTCAGTACCACATAAAAATAAAAGATATTGTGTCCATCTACTACTAAAAAATATTAAAAAAAAAAAAATACCCAAAATCACTTACCTGGTGGAAGATGTGGGTACAAAGCAGCTTCCTTCAGCCCTGTGGGTCCTTCCTGGGAAGGGTCCAGAGAGCTTGGCCCTTCTGATTCTGGCATCTGTAGAGACTGCAGTTCACCTGTAGATGGGTCCACTTCTTTTGAAGACAAGTGAGTCCAGTCCTCATCTCCTCCCGAACAGTTATCAGACTCCATCTGTTCCTGGAATATGCCTCACCATGAGCATACAAAAGATATATGACAGGCAACCTGACCACACCACTAATTCCTAGAAGAGACCATGTGGATGGAGGTGGGGCTGGTTATCTGCCTGTCAGGCTGGCAAGGAATTACAGGCAACAGTGACCTACTCGCAGAAAACAAGTATTTTTTCTTTACAAAGTTCTAGCAGAAGATTCACAGAGTAAATTAATGCCACAGACATGACCCTGGAACAGTGATGGGGCCCCTCAGGCTGCATAAGTGCTGTGGATGAGGCTGAAGGACAGAGGCAGAAGGCACTAGGTCAGTCAGTTTCAGTTGGAAGGAAGGGAGCAGGCCTACCTCAGGCTGTCCCATCGACTCCAGGGCTATCTTTTTCATTTGCTCTGCCAGCGATTGTGCCATACCCTCGCCATTCCCATCTGGTTTGTTGGGCTCAGAAGAACAGCTGCTTGGCTGAGAACTACACTTGTCTTCCATGCTGGAACTTTCTGGGGAGACAGGTGTCAGGCGGCTTCTTTTCCCTCCATGCTCCACATCAATATCAACTTCAATACCTAAAGGCAGAGGAGGAAACAAAAGCTATGAAATCCCAATGACCTACCTGCAGATAAGATCTCAGTGTCTGGGCAGAGTTTGGTGGTGCACTCCTATAATCCCAGCAGCTCAGGAAGCTGAGCCAGGATTGCAAGTTCAAGGACAGCATAGACAACTTAGTGAGAGCCTGTCTCAAAATTAAAAACAAAAGATCTCAGTGTGTTGGGAGACTGTGACCTTAGGAAACTCTTACACTCCAGCACTGCATGAGGGTTGGGTCTGTGGCACTCAAGCCCATCTCAGGGGCTGACCTGCTTCTCCCAATAGTATGGTTCCAAATCCTCTTGAACTTCTAGAAATACTCTGCTGTCATCCACTATACTGGACCTTTCCCTTCTTCCAACTTAGTAAAACATTAACTTCAGTTAACATTCAAGGTCAATGAAGCCTAAAATCCCACAGAAAGACCTTGTTTTTCCTAATCAAGCAGGACAAAGGGCTGCATAGCAGGCAGGGCCAGACTCTGAGGACAGGGTGAGGGCCCAATACTACATGTGGCCAGAAGGCCCCAGCCATGGTGCTAGAGACATGACACCTTGTGTCTGCGTGTAGGGGCCTCATGACAGGACAGATACAAATTCAAACTAGTATTCAGGTCTGGAAGGCAGGCAGACCATGCAAGCTCAATGTGCAGCCTATGAGACTGGACAGGCTGCTCTCTGGGAAGGGACACAGCTCCTACAAAAAAACAACCTTCTCCTTTCTCCTTCATCCTGGAAGTGCCCTTTCTCTCTCTCCTTCCTATATGCCCCTGCTTTCTTTTTTTTTTTTTTTTTTGCAGGACCAGGGAATTGAACACAGGGGTACTTTACCACTGAGCTACATCCTCAGCTCTTCTTATATTTTTATTTTAAGACAGGATCTTGCTAAAGCTGAGTCTGGTCTTGAACTTGCCTACCTCAGCCTCAGCCTCCCAAATTGCAGGAATTATAGGAGTGTGCCATGACACTGGCCGATCATTTTATGAGTATGGAATTCCAAGTTGAAAATCATTTTAGCTCAACATTTGAAACTCACTGGTTGTTCTACTGTCTTCACGCTGTGTTCTTTCTATTCCCAAGCTTTTGGAGTTTCAGAAGCCCTTCTGTTCCCAGGGCTCTAGTAAGTTTTGATGTGGGACTTGCCTCCAGAGTCAATGGAATTACAAGCATGTGCCACCAAGCCCAGCTTGCTTTATACCTTTTTTGCATGACCTCTCCTTACTGTTACTTTAGAAGAATTTGCAGAAAGATTGGGCTGGGGGTGTATAGCTCACTGGTCCAGGACTTGTCTAGCACATGCAAGGCCCTGGGTTCAATCCCCAGTACCACAAAGAAAAAAAAAAGTTTTTTTTTTTTTTCATTCCAACTTTTCATTATGAAAAGATTCAGACAAACAGAAAAGTTGAAAGAATAGTACAAAGAACACTTATAATTTCCATCTTTTTTAAATGGGTGTAGGATGCATATCTCCTATGAAAGGATCAGAGGAATTATAGAATTAGGGGTTCCACAACTGGATAATTAAACCCTGAGATTTCATTCATTATAAGAATGTTC